GTTTGCACCAATTCCCATAGTTATCGCCTTTAAGAATTGGGAGACTCGCTGAAAATTTTTTGTTAGCGTAATTCATCGCTATCGTGAATTTCTTCTTCTTCTTCCTCGATCGTTCTTGATCGTTCTTCCCTTGAATCACTCAACTGGAGCTCTTGATACCAGATGTTAGAAATCTACCAAAACCTATGATGAATTTCTATCAATCTTGATGAACAAGATTGTTATCAACACACAATGACAATGAAAAATATGAAAGAAAGAAAGAAGACAATGATTTTTCCGCAGAGTTTCTCTCTGTCCACAAATTGTGAAAAATTTTATTATTCACTTGCAAGTGCAAATTTTGTGAATACAACTTGATTGACTTGATTACAAAAATAGGGTTACTCCCTCTATTTATATATTTAGGTTAGCTTGCTCCGTAAGGCAAAATCCAAAATTATGAAAGCCCAAAATGCCTATTTTGGAACTAAATCAAATCTATCTTTTAGATCTAAATCTAAAACCAAATTAAATCTGTGTGTAGTCTGCTTCGATCCATAAACTCTTCGACTGAACAATATTTTCCATCGAGCAACCTGCTTCGATAACCTCTAACCTTTCGACACATATAGTTTTGACACACATAAATTACAATTTAACATCTTTGACTTTGTCTGTTTGCTCCCTTTTTGCTCAATTGTGGGTCTCATGTTAACCTAGTCATAGCTAGCTCTGTAATAGGCGCCATGGAGGTCGCCACTAGTGTATTTTCGCCGTATTTTCTCCATTTCACGTCATTTTTGTTTAGTTTCTTCATGTAACGACTTCTACCTATAAAATACCTAAAACATACATAAACTACTAACATAATACTACAATAACACTAAAATATTTACCAATCGAATCAAAATAAACTGTGTTTTAGTGTTATCAAGTACCTTTAAACCTCTCTTAATTCAAATTTACTTTTAAAAAAATACCAAAGAATAATACATTTCCACTAACTTCATTCTAGAAATTAAAATAGCTTTACGTTGAATTGAATTTCTTCATTTTTCTTTTTACGAGATATACTTCAACAAAATACAAAGGTTTTAATATTTGCAAATCGAACGTACCCAACGACTAAAATCAATCAAATGACACAAACAAACCCAATTTTCTTACATTCAATGACTTCAAATTAATGGAATCCTTCGCAGCCACCGCTATCATTTTTTCCCCATCTTGTTGTTTATGACAAAATCCCCTTTCTTACGTATCTTAATGTTGCACATAATATATCATGATATTGACTTAGGGATAAATAATGTGACGTTGATTTAATTACATATCTAGAAGTGAGATTATTCACCTTTTTCTTATTTTCTTTTCTGCCGTCTTAAATAATCTCAAATTAATATTAAAAATAATTTATATATAATACTCGTACTTTTCAATCTAAGGAAACACATTTTTTAAAAGTATAAAGTTATAAGGATTTTTACATTTAAAATAAACAATATTTCAAAGTCAAAATGTAACATATCTGATGTCGTGTGTAATATTAACTCTAAAAAAAAAGATTGAACTCATTTACTCGCAAAGTGTCTCTTAGTTTTAATTAAAAAATTGTGAGAATTTTCACATTTAAAATAAACAATATCTAGTAATTGATTGTAGTGATCCAACATTTTAATCTTTCAACTTAGCCGGATAACTTTATTCTATGTTGTTTTCACATTAATATCAAAGTTTGAAACCATAAATTGAATTTTTCAAAAACTATATAGTAATTTAATTACTACTAATAATTTAATATTTCCAATGAAAATAGTAAACATCTTATGGAGAGAATATAGGCAACATCACAAATAGGTAGGTTCCAATTTGGCACATAGTTGCACAAAATTCAACTCTTCATACTTAACGCGTTGAACATTACCACCAAACACATCACAACCCAACAATTAATATGCCAACAAAATAAACCTCTTTAATAACACCTTCATCAACAACATCAACTTATAATACACATGTAATCTTAAAAACCATTCCTCAAAATATCCAAAATCATGCAACTTCATAACCTTTGCATTGTTTTACCACAAAATTCAGGTGAAATAATGAAGCAAAAACATGAACATGGTTCCCAACAACAACAAGAACCAAAGTCTAGAAACCCTTCAAGTGCTTGTGGTGGTGGAGGACAACAAGTTCTTGATTTGCTTCATGATTCTTTGAGCAAGCTATGTAGTGCAAAATGGTGGGGAGGTGCAAAAAGAATTTGCAGACATAGGGGGGTGCAAAAAGCAAAAAAGAAAAACTCTTCAAGAGGTACTTCTACTACTACTACTACTATGTTTCATGACATGGATGGTGTACAATTTGGTGTGAAGATTGGAAGAGACAATCCAAGGATTTTCAGCTATGCAGAACTTTTCATAGGCTCCAATGGTTTCAATGAAGAACAAGTTCTAGGAAGTGGAGGCTTTGGAAAAGTGTACAAAGCACTTTTGCCAAGTGATGGAACTTTGGTTGCTGTGAAATGCTGTTTATCAGAGAAAGGTAAGCAGTTTGACAAGAGTTTCTTAGCCGAGTTATCGGCTGTGGCCGATCTTCGTCACAAGAATCTCGTCCGGTTGAGAGGTTGGTGTGTTCATGAAGATCAACTTCATCTTGTTTATGATTATATGCCGAATCGAAGCCTTGATCGCGTGCTTTTCCGAAAGAAGGAGAATTCGAAAGGCGAGATTCTTGGTTGGGGACAAAGGTGTAGAATTGTGAAAGGTTTGGCTGCTGCATTGTATTATCTGCATGAACAATTAGAAACTCAAATCATTCATAGAGATGTTAAAACTAGTAATGTTATGCTTGATTCGCATTATAATGCCAAGTTAGGCGATTTCGGTATGGCCAGGTGGTTGGAACATGAACTTGAGTATGAGTTTAAGTACAATTACAATAGCAACAGCAACAGCAGCAGCAATAGCAATAAGAAAACTTCGAGTAGAATCGATCATTTCAAGTTGGGGGAAACATCGAAAATCGGTGGGACTATTGGTTATCTTCCACCAGAAAGCTTGCAAAAACCGAGCAACGGTACGTCGAAATGTGATGTATTTAGCTTTGGAATTGTGGTGTTAGAAATTGTATCTGGAAGAAGAGCTATAGATCTAGCATACTCTGATGAGAAAATCATTCTGCTTGATTGGATTCGAAGGCTTTGCGACGAAGGGAAGCTTGTTGAAGCAGCTGATACTAGGCTACAAAAAGATGGATCATCATTCAATTTTTCTGAGATGAAGCATTTCATTCATATAGGCCTTCTTTGCACACTTCATGATCCAAATTTGAGGCCTAATATGAAATGGGTTGTGGAAGCACTTTCTGATTTAAGTTTCACACTTCCTTCACTTCCTTCATTTCTGTCACACCCTCTTTATATCTCTTTGTCTTCACCTTCTGAGACTACTAGTCCTTGTAGCACAAGCGGCACGATCTCGGCCGCGGAAAATGTTAGCTTAATCACAAATTATAATAGTTCAACAAACTATTTCACAGCTGCAGGTGAAACAGTTTATGTGACAGCAGAAAACATAAACAGTGGAAATGTTTCTTCTAAGAGCATGAATCGGAGTCATCACAGGCCGAACTTTCCCGTGGTTGAAACTCCGAGAGAAATTTCATACAAAGAGATTGTTTGTGCTACAAGAAACTTCTCAGAGTCAAGAAGGGTAGCTGAACTAGACTTTGGAACTGCTTATCATGGAGTCCTCGACAACGATTGTCATGTTTTGGTGAAAAGGTTGGGGATGAAGACGTGTCCTGCGCTCCGCGTTCGATTCTCGGACGAACTCAGGAATTTAGGAAAACTTAGGCATCGAAACTTGGTCCAGCTTCGCGGTTGGTGTACCGAACAAGGGGAGATGCTCGTGGTTTATGATTACTCAGCTAGTAGAATTCTCAGTCAGCAACTTCTCCAAATTCATAACAAAGGTGAGAACGGTTCAGTACTCGAATGGAATTATAGGTACAACATAGTTAAATCGCTTGCATCTGCTGTTCATTATCTACACGAAGAATGGGACGAACAAGTGATTCACAGAAACATTACCTCTTCAGCTGTGATTCTCGAACAAGATATGAATCCAAGACTAAGCAGTTTCGCTCTAGCCGAATTCCTATCAAGGAATGAGCATGGAGACCATCATGTAGTCAACGACGGAAGCAAATCCGTTCGAGGGATTTTTGGTTACATGTCACCAGAATATGTCGAATCAGGCGAAGCAACCACGGCTGCGGATGTTTATAGTTTCGGTGTGGTGGTACTTGAAGTTGTAAGTGGACAAATGGCAGTGGACTTTAGGTACCAAGAGGTTCTTTTGGTGAAGAAAGTTCATGAGTTTGTGATGAAGAAAAGACCATTGAAGGAACTAGCTGATGTAAGCCTCAATGGAGAGTATAATGAGAAAGAGTTCATGAGGTTGGTGAGATTAGGAATTGCGTGTACAAGTTCTGATCCTGAATTGAGACCAAGCATGAGACAAATTGTGAGTATTCTTGATGGAAATGATAAATTGCTGAACATGAAAATGAAGGAAAGTAGGGAAGAATGGAGAGAAAGAAATGCTAGTTCTTTGTCAATGGTTAGGAGGATTCAAGCTCTTGGGATACAGTAAGAAGTTACAGAAGAAATTGGTATAATCAAATGGGGAGTAAAGTTTTTTGTAAATTAGTTAATAGTGCATGCACTTTGTTGTTTCAATTTGTTGTATTTTTTTCTACATGTTTTATTTACTTTGATTATTATATATGATATGTTGTACCGTATATAATTGAATGTTTGGTGAAACAATGGAGTTGAATCTTGATCATAGTTTCTAAACTATTTGAGTTGGCTTTTAACTTCTGTATCATAGAAAGAGGCATCAAGTTGATACTTGTTCCGATATTCACAAGGAAAGTGTTCTGATTTGTACTATTACATTTTTTTTCTTAAGCGCTGTTATAAATCGGTGTAACTTCTTTTTACGCGTCTATTCATCAACATCGATTCCAATCCAATTAATGAAACCGAAGAGGAATTCCCTGAATGTGACTTGTCCGTTCTTGTCCCAGTCCATTTCTCCTGCGAGAAAGAAAAATTAACAAAAATGAAACACTAAATCATGCTGCAAAAGAAGAATTGAAACGAAGTGAACAATGTACTGAATCTGTTTTTGGTGATGTGTGCAGGAGATCTTTCTTTAGGGTTACTCTCATTCATTGTTCTCATCACGTCCTTCTTGTTAAGCTTCCCATCACCATTTTTATCGAAAAACAGAAATATTTCAAGTATGCTATCAAAAACTTCTCCTAACTGTGCTAACTCTGCCTTTGGTGCCTGTCACGAAAATATAAACTCATAATTTAGTGTCATATAGTTTAAGCCGATAACAACTGGGCCGGCTGGTTCAACCGGTTGAACTAAGAATGACTACTCTTCTGGTTGGTTAGATTTCCATCAGTTCTCAATCTCTTCAAACTCGATCCATTGGTTCAATCGGTTCACTCGTTTCAAAAAAAGTTCTATAAACACTCGTTTATTGACTAGTTCATCTGGTTGAACTAATTGAACCATGATCTAGATGTTTCACCTGGTTCAATCTCCGGTCCAGTTTTTAAAACAAGTTTATAAAGATTAAAGAATACATCATCAGAGGATAAAGGTTCTGTTAGGACATGAATGAGGCATAAAAGAACAATAAATTCATTGAATTGAATCCCTTTGCTTCCATCAATATCACAATATTGAAAAATATTCTCAATCTCATTCTCTTGTAGATGAAGTTCCAAATCTTCTAGGAAAGTTTTCAGTTCATCAGGCTCTATCGATCCATTAGAGTCCTCGTCTATGAAACATACAACATAACACATGTTAACAAAAACATGGCTTATAAACAGAAAGAATGTTTGGATTGTATTTGAAACTTACCATATTGTTGAAACATTTCTCTTAAAGTTTTTAGTCTCTCCTTGAACATAGGGAACATCATAACTATAGTATCAATTGATTTCAATTTGGTTTGTCCAAATTTGTTTCTTCTTATCTCACATATTTTCTTTTCAACATTCCTTTCCAAGCTCTTTTCTTCATTTTGTTCACTCATGCAACAGATTAATGCTCCCATTTTCTTGCCAAACACTTGAGAAAAAGGGAAAAAATATGCTATGTTTAGAACAACCAATGAGTCATAAAAGGAAAAACATGGAAAATTTGAAGATGAAGAAAAGATGAAAATAGAAAAACAAAGTATAGTGGATTCCAAAGTGGAGATGCCATTTTTTCTCTGAGTGGTTTTCTCTTATGTGAGTCATTATATTTCCAAGTATATCCAAATTAAAGGGTAATCAAAGAATATATTCTCTTGACTTAACAAACTGGGAATAATGCATTATTCTTTATTTGTTTGATTGTGTTTCCAAACTAAAACCAAAAGAAATGGACAAACAAAAAACATGTTACAATATTGAGTTAATAGCTTCTTCTAGTTAGAAATAGAGGTTGAGTTTGTAGCATAAGTTTGTATGATCCTATTTTGTACCAGATTTCATTGGTTATATTATTTTGTACTATGAGATATTTACAATTTAGAATTGAGCATTATTTTCTGTCTCTTTTAACTTCTTTTAAGACTTTCTAAAATTTAACTGTCAAATATGTTAATATTTTTATGAATTTTTTTCAAATATATATGATGTTATACAATGTAATTAGTTGTATTTTGAAACTAACTTGAATCAATCAATAAAAAGTTTAACCCTATGTGTTTGGTTTCTCTTGACTTTTCTAATTGTTTGACACTATGGTGATTGAATTCAAAATCTAAGCAGAAAAATTCATGAGAACACATTGGTAGAAGTGTGTTCACGAGAATAAAGTATGTCATATGTTTTAAGCAGAGATGCATCGCATTTTTAAAGAAACACAATATGTTTTTGTCTAATGTAGACATTTTTTAGTCTCTTTATTTAATATAAATACGAGTCTTATTGGAGAATTTTTAAAAAGAAGAACTTAGAGAGACAAAGGGATAAATTTTTATGAATCATCGTTTTAAGAACTTGGAGAGACAAAGGGGATAAATTCTTATGATTCATTGTTTTAAGAATTAGAAGATCTTTAGAGCATTTAAGGAGTTCGAGAAGTACTTCTAAATACATTAGGTTTGTGTCATTCATATATTAAAAAAAAGATATATTGGAAAACACTTGAGTAGAAAATAAGAGATGTTCTTATAAACTCTGTTTGAAGAGTTTGAAAATCTTGTTGATCTACCCTCTGATGGCTCATTCTACTCCTCTAATGCAACAAATGACATGGATAATTTCAACCTTCTCTCAACTACTCAATTCATTCTTTCTGATTTACCGGCGAGTCATAGGATCCCTCTCACAGTGAGATATATGACTATGACTTTGTGTTTCATTTTATATGTGATCACCCATGTGCTCATTTCAAAGAAGTCCAACCACACGCAATTGATGAGCACCGATATTGTGACCACTTGGCTTCTGGCCAATAACTTCGAGATGTATTTGGATTATCTCTATTGAAACTTTCACGGGAGGAAGTAAAGCAGAGATCTCTACCCTTAATTCTTTTTAAAAATATTATTATTATACTTAATTGATAAAAAGGGAGAGTTGGGAAGTAAATTGCACGAGAGGCAATCTGTTCCCCATCGAGATCAACTAGGAAAATGGAGTAATTTAACATATGTTGGATTACAGAAGAAGCAGAACTACTTGGTTTCCTTATGGGGACTTGATCATAAAGATTTTGATTCATGTTGTAGCTAGTCTGGAAGGAAAAAAGTATGATTCAAGCTCCTTAATGATTTGAAAGCATTTGAAAACAAAATCATTTGAAAAATAAGAGTTTGAAAGCATTTTGTAAAATAAACAAGTAAATACACAACAAGTTAAAGGATAGATAGAAAATCAACGAAAGGACAATAAAGTAAAGAGATAAATGGATATATAGAGAGAGAGAGGGGGGGGGGGGAATGACGGAGAGAGAGAGAGAGAGAGAGAGAGAGAGAGAGAGAGAGAGAGAGATAAAATCAATGATTTATACATGTTTGACCTAAATTGACCTACTCCTATCCCCAAGAATTATTCTTAAGAGTATCCACTAATATTGAGAACTTTTAAAAGGATGTATACAAAGAAACGAAGTTTAAAGGCTAACTTCCAACCAACTAAAGAATAATATTTAGGGTGTATTAATTCTCTATTATTTGGATTGGCATTATGTTTGGTAAAACTAATATAGCAGCAATAGGTTAAATAGGATTTGTAACTTGTAGGAGAAAGCAGGTTGAAGTTCTATTTGATGAAGAAGCATGTTGAGATGAGATGTCTCATCATCTGGAGCAACATATCAAAAAAGATATCCTATGCAGGTTCATACGACATCGTGACTGGTACAGTTAGATTAAACAACTTCAAGTTGGTGTTCTTAGTCAAGAGTCTCAGTTGAGTTTATAGGGAAGCGTGTCTTCCTGCTCGTCATATAAGTGAGTTTTCTCATCATGGAAATGTGTCTTCTTGTTTTTCTAAGTGACTTAGAATTTTCCAATCGTTGTCTATGATTGATGAGGGATTGAGGAGGGCCTCATATCTAGGTGAGTCTTAGATAGAAATCTAGCAAGGGTAGTGATTAAGTGATTAGACTATAAACAGGTATGTTTACTATATGGTCTATGAATTCATATTACTATTAGTGGATTTGTCCCTGACTTTGTATGCCCCCAGAGTAGGAAGGTTGTTCTGAACTAGGTTAACAATTATGTGTGCACTTTACTTTTCAGTATCTATTTTTAACTGTTTATTCCTTGTCATGTTATTTGTAATAGACTAAATATCTTGACATCTTATAGGACACCTGGTTCTATTATACTAGAATTTCAATTGGTATCAGAGCAGACATCCTGTCTATTTCTGGATGAGATCCTGGGAAGATACTTTCTGGTTCATTGTCAAGGTAGAAGGTTCTACTGAAAATTTGTTTGAACTTGATCAGTTCATATTTGTACGAATGATCCCTTGAAGTGGGGATAGACTATTCGTGACAGGGTGTGTGGTGACCTATTTTGAAGTTGTTAGGTGAGCAGCCTTGGTGGTGAGCTGCTATGAGGTTTGATTTGGTTTCAAACTTATGTTGTGCCTGAAGCTTGGTTGATGAGTTTTTCATTTATTCCGCTGCATCTGATGTAAAACTCTTGATGGTTGTGTGTGCTTCATCTCTGAAAGTGTATCCTATGATGTTGTGATACGTGGAGGATAGTCTCGACCAACTTATTAAAGTTGCCAAAGATACTTGAGGATTATCTCAAGGCCACTTATAAAGGCACTTCTGAATAAGTTCGGTGATGGAGATCTGAAGAAAGAAATTTATTTTTGCGCTCTTCTCTAAAAGACCAACCACAAGTCTTTGATCACGAATCTCTTGGTGCATTCCTTGGATGACGTTCTACATGATGTTGGAACATCTCGTCAGCAGATTATGAAAAATTTTAATGATGAAAGGAATGGTGAGCAGATGCTTTGGGGGCTGAACAAATGCGTGTTGAACACATATGTTTGGAACCTACTCTTGATCTGGAAGATGATGCATATGTGTCTAAGAAGTTTTGATGCTAGAAACTTTCCTTAGATAAATATGTTGATTAGGACACGAGAAACATATTGTTTACCTCTTAGGTTAGTTTATTTCTGATTCAAGAAAGTAGGAGTGCAGAAGTTGAGCATGTTGTTCTATTTGAAGACTTGTTAAAAGACATATCAACAAGATTCTTCATGAATTCCATTCCTAATGTCGAGGACATTATCTCTGACATCTTTAGGTTCTTCTGACCAAAGGAACCACAATTCAGAGAAAGGGACTTAAGGCAACAGTTATCTAAGTTTGTAGGCTAATGGTTATTCTTACAAACAGGATAAATGTTGTTTACTCAAACTTGAAATAACTGTCAAGTCTATGAGAGCATGGAACTCTTGTTCTGTTAAGAGAAGAAAAATTCTCCAAGGAAGGATAGAAAATGGAGGTTTATCAACCTAAGCTCAATGGTTGATTGGTGTCTGCACTTTTGAAGTATCATCCAATCTATTGGAATGAGTCTTCAGTTGTTTACTTGAGTAAGGGGAGTTGATCATGCCTCATTGGAGCAAGGTATGTATACTCAAGGGAGGTCCCTCTCAAGTTCAGAGTCCAACTATGTGGTGTCGTCACATATTGGAACATTTGTTTATGCACTAGGGCTGGAAGTGCATTAGTGAGCCTTGAAGAAGTAGTGGTGCTTAGGGTATAGTGCTGGCCTTATCACCTGCTTGTTGTTTTCTACTTCAGATACCTCTTAGAGGGAATCTCCTCTTTAGGTGCAAAATATTGGCTCCTATCACCTCAAAGTCAGACAAGAGGCATGTATTTGTGTTTCAGAGGTGTGTATTATGCATGTTATTGCATGTGTTTGATGTCTAGTCATGAAGGATGATCAACTGCTGAAGAGTGATCTTGTATCCCATGTAATAGTTATGCATGGATTGCTATGGATGTTACCTCAAAAACCATAGTAGTTATCGAATCCATGTGTGTGAGATTGATGTTGGAACATCATCTCAGTCATTTGGTCTTCAACCAAGGAAGCCTGTTTTGTCCAGAATGAAGCACTAGGTCAAGCCACTGACCCATTCTGGATTTGTTTGTGATGAAGATGGTCGTCATGGTTGATGTCATGGTGAAGAGCCAACTTGTGCCACAGGTATGCAAAAGAAGATAGTCAGACAAAATGTGATATCTCATGTGAGGAGGTGGTGCATATGTCTGGTGATGAATATTCTGACGGGAGTTGAGTATTTGTCTATCCTCTTAGGAGACTGTGCATAAGACCAATGGTGAACACCTTGACGGGAGGAGACTGGGTATTTATCTGAGGAGTTGTGCAATTCTACAGTCTAAACATTTTTGTTCAGAAAATGTGTAGAGAAGTTATTTTTCTCTATGTGGTCGTTTGAAGTAGCTTGGGCAAGATAGCTACTAACTACTGAGAGTTTATTTCTCTCAGCCGTGTTCTATGGGTGACAACCTGATTCAACTCCTGAATTTGATTTCCTAGATGATGTTGTA